GTTTACTGTTCAAGCCTAAACCTGGCAGAGTAATTTATTATGTTTTCAAGTTTTGTTGCCAGGAAATATTGGTGTTCGGTTGCAGGATTCGGGGTGGAGGGTGGGGCGCAATAATCCTTTAGAGAAACTTGGATTGTAATTGAAAGTAGACGGGGAGGACCTAGTGACTAGTGTTCTGGATGTCACACATGAGGCAAAGAAAGGGTAGATGCTCGAGAAGAGAATATTTCAGTTGCTGCTTCGTAAGCAAGATGCCCAGAAACAAATATTGTACAAAAATTCATGAAATACTAACTTTGGTTTCCCACATAATATTATCGATTGCACTTTGAAATTCTGAGGAACTGTGGAAAAAGAGTTTATCCCTGTAAAGACTTCGTCTGATAATCAAAGTAAAACACGTGGAGATGCCATAATTTGGTATCTTGTGTTTCTATCACCCATTTACTTTCGCTGACTAGATAGTCCAAGAGTAGATTTTATTCGGTGTGTGTTTGTCTCTCATTATTGTAGAAGAAATGGAGTAATGAATAGTATTTTTTGAAAAATGTGGTTGAAATTTAAAGTAACTTTATTGATTTGTGTGTAGAATATTTTATTGGATGATTGTGTAGTGGAGAATCTTACTGTAGTAAACAATGTTTTAAAATAATGGGAGACAAACGGGACCTCAATTTGTTATTAATTTTGAAACATTAAAGATTAAGCAAAATGGAATAGAGTAGATACCAAAAGCATCTCATCTGGGAAAATGAAAGCAACGAATGCTAAAGTAAACATTATAAAGACAATCTTTGTCTTCCTTTTCGTTGTTCTACGATTAGATTCCACCCCAAAAGTTAAGGTTTTTCAAGAGAAGGATATTATGGTCATCCAAATGGCAACTCCCAGAGGCTTGCACGTTTCCACTACTCATCCTGGAACAGCATGAGATATATGTCTTTGACGTGGAGATGCCTTATGAATTTGGTATCTTGTGTTTCTATCACCCGTTTGCTTTCGTTGACTAGACAGTCCATGAGTAGATTTTATTCTTATTAATTTTGAAACACTTAAAAGATTATGCAAAATGGACTAGAGTAGACACCAAAAGCATCTCATCTGGGAAAATGAAAGCAGCAGATGTTAAACATTATAAAGACAATCTTTGTCTTCCTTTCTGTTGTTCTACGATTAGATTCCACCCCAAAAGTTAAGGCCCTGTTCTCTTTGCCGTTTTCGGGTCGTTTTCTGTTTTCAATTTTTCAAAACAGCGAAAACGCGTTCTCTACCTTATTTTCGAAAACGAGTTTTTCAAAACGAAAAAAAAATAACACAGGAAACAGAAAACGGGCAAATCATCGTTTTGGAAAATTTCAGACAAAACACGGCAAATTCCCAAAACACTCTCAAAACACGCGAAACGGTCTCTCCCTCGCCCAACTCTCTCCCTCACAGACAACCCTCGCCACTGTCTCCGAAACGGTCTCTCCCTCGCCCAACTCTCTCCCTCACAGAGAACCCTCGCCACTCTCTCCCTCTCCCTGCAACTCGATATCCTCTCACACCCACCACCCTAAAACAAAATCAGTGACGGATCGAAGGCCAAATCGAACGATTGTAGACGGATCTTCAAATCAAGGGCTTTTTTGTTCTTGTTTAGCCGGATCGAAGGCTTCACGACAGGGAGTTTGAATCTAGGTTTCGCGTCTTCAAAACCAGGTTTCGATTCCTTTGCTTGTGATAATAGTTGGTTATTTGACTGCTATTCCGTGTCATAGTACTTGGTTCCGATTTCGCACTGGTTTTTAATTTGTTTGCTGTGAAACCTGACCTGAGTCGGGTTGGATAATAGGTTGGGCAGTCAATTCGCAGGGGGAATGCCTACTGGTGGTGGTGGCGGAATTGAAGGTTGAATTCGTAGGGGGAATGGGTAGCTGGTGGTGGAGTTGGTAGAATTTCTGGGCTACCTGTGTCTTGCTAGGTTTGTAGAATTGCTGGAATGGTGATGGAGTTGGAATTGATAGAATGGTGATGTTGCCTGTGTCTGTGTCTATGTTCGGGGAGGTTGAATTCGTAGGGGGAATGGCTACCTGTGTCTTGCTGTGTCTGTGTGTATGTTTTATGGTTTTGGTTTCTGGGGGTGAGTGGAAGGGGGTTCATGTCAATGTTATAGCAAATACAAGATATCCAAGATGAATTTTAATTGGTTTCCTGTAAATGCAGTTGCAACTACTTGAATGTTTCTTTCTCCTTTTTCTTGTGGAAAGCAGATTTTTGGTTAAAGGCTAAGAATAAACGACTGCTTTAAGACGTGAAATGATCAAAATGGTGAATTCTATAATGAAAATGGCTCTCTTGCTATTGTCTATAGAGAAGCAGGAGCCAATATTGGGATAACCTATGTATCTTCAATGGAAAAACATAATTAGGATTGGATTCTTGACTCAAGCTACTCATTTCAGATGAATCCCAAATTAGGATGATTTTCTGATTCTTCAAATCTTCATTGGGGGACTTGTGAAATTAGGGAACAATGAATGTTGCCAAGTCAAAGGAATTGGCAACATTGTTCTGAGGTTGAAAAACAGCCATACGATCACCTTGAAACGTATTAGATATGTTTCACACTTGAGAAGAAATATCACATCCTGAGGGATTTTAGATGGTGAAAATTATTAGATAGATATTAAGAATGGGCATACAAATACTAAGAAAAATCAGGTAGTTATCATCAGTTCACCAAAAGTTAATGGAATCTTTGTAATGAACTCAAAAATTATTTTACCAAATAATGATATGAACTTAGTGGTACAATCAACAAATTAGGAAATCAGGACATTGAAATTGAGTTTTTTTTCACTATTTCCTTTTCATTTCTGATTGGATTTCTTTCATAGTTCAGGCACGTCTTGGTTAGCTTATCATTGACTAACATGGAAAGATAAAGGCTCTAGATGAACTGTTGAGGAAGCAAGCTTATAATGTTAGGGAATTTTCATCTTCTACCACATTTGATCTTGTCATCTTGACTACTCCATTTTATGTTCAAAGGCACCTAATCTAATCATAGGTCTTTCCTGAACTTAGCAACTAGTTTAGAGACTTTTCCCTCACTTGTTCTACGTCAATTTAAATAAATCTGGACAAGTAGTTGAAATTTGTTGATTGAATTCTTTGTTTTACCATTTTTTAGGACATCATACCAGGGCCAATATGTATGGGTTACCAATTGAGGAATGCCAATATGACTGCTCCATTTGTGACCTGCAAATGGGAAGGTATTATTGACATTGTAGACCCTGATTTCTTGCTGTACTTATTCTACTGGATTCTTGGCAAATGTTTCTTTCTAAGTATACTGGATTCTTGCTTTTGTTTTTCCAAGGGATGATACTAATATATTCCTTTCCCTTTCCAGACACACTTTATCCTTCCAGAGTATTTGATGCAAAAGGATCAGGTGCAGACCCTTGAGGAAGCAAAAGATGTGTTGAAGAAAGCTGGGGTTGCTCATGATGAGATGGCAGCTCTAGAAAGGCAAATAGTCACAGCAAAATGATGGTGGGGAGAAGGTTATTGCAAAAAGCGATGAGATTGAGCTCCCATTATATTAGTTTTGCTCATTTTAGTTTAATCCTACTCTCTAACTAGGGACTTATATTAAGTTGAGAGATTCATAAATTTGGATTTACATCTATCCTTGTATTCTAGTGTAATTGTGCTTTATTTTTTGTTAATTTTACTTTGTGGGATATTGAAACTTGAACTCTGGTTTGAAAAGATATGTTGCAATAGACCAATGTTAATACATCATTGCATTTTCCAAAGTCTGTGTGCTTCAAAAGCATTTTTACTTGTAAGTGGTTTATCTATAATCAAGAAGTAATGTTATCTACTAACACTGATGATAGTCATCGTGTTTAAACGATCAAAATTGCATTTGACAATAATTGTGAAAACTAACATGAACTCGATAAGATTGATTTCAAAATATTTATTACCATGTCAACATGAGATCAGTGTTCCCATTTTTTGCAACTTGATTAGGTTTGATTGTGACTTGATGCTAATTAGTTTTTGTCACAAATTATGTATAAGGAAAAAAATATTTCAAAATTCACCAACTTCAAAATTTATATGTTATTTAATATTATATTAACATTAAACAATTAAAATTTATTGAATAATCAATTTTTTTGAATAAAATATTCTTAAAAAAAAATTCTCAAAATTTCAAAGTAAACGCATTTTCCATTTTTATGTTTTCGGAAACAGTTTTTCAGAATGGGAAAGAGAACGCATTTTCAGAAATTTCAAAACAGACACTCAAAACACAAAACACAAAACGAATTCAAAACTCAAAACACAAAACTGAAACACAAAGAGAACGGCACCTAAGGTTTTTCAAGAGAAGGATATTATGGTCATCCAAATGGCAACTCCCAAAGGCCTGCACGATTCCACTACTCATCCCAGAACTGTCTGAGATAGATATCTTTGCCCGACTTACTGTATGCACAACAAGAAAGAGGAAGAAAGAATAAAAAAAGATCTCTTTTTTGCAATTATATTTACTTTCACCCTTTTTTCCTTTGGGTTTGAGGTGGTGGTGGTTGGTGTGGATTTTAGGTTTGACGTGGGGATGTGCTAGGGTTGAGAGAAAGAAGACAATTGTGTGTGTGTGTGTTTTTTTATTTCTTATTTAATTGTTTAATATGATAAATAGAAAGTTATTTTTTTACCCGTTTTTAAAATATTAAAAATATGGTCAAAGTCAAATTTTGGTCAATTGACAGAATTATGGCTGAAAACTGTCCAAAGTGGCTTCACCTGCAATATTTGAAAATGTTAAAGGTGACGACTACAACAAATCAAAAGTTTGAAAAAAATATGCTAATATCTCAAAGGTTTGGGACTTTTGCTGCAATTATATCTGGGCGTTATTATTTCTATTGACGTCACATGAGATAAATGGCATTGCCGCATTGTTCTCTGTGAAATTAACTCGATCTGGATAAATGTACAACTCCACAAGAGGAACGTACAAAACTGATCACATGATCTCCTCTATAAAAACCCAGAAAGAGAGAGCCAGACAGAGATTAATTACAGCAGAGGGAGTCATGGAAGAGGAGGAAGCCATGCTGAAAAAGGAAGAAGAAAATGATGAGGATGAAGAAGACGAAAAAGGAGAAGAAGAAAAAGAGGTGAAATTGACGCAGAAGAGTATTGTTAACAGAATAATAATGGAGGAAGTTGTGGGTAGACTTGGGAATGGAGATCTGAAGGAGAAAATAGAGGCCGCCATGGCCATAAGGAAGCTGGTGAGGAAATCCAATTCCAAATCCTCCAAGAGTGTTGTACGCTCTCGCTTGGCTTCGGCGGGTGTTATTGCCCCACTTGTTTCAATGCTTCAGCCTTCCTTCCCGCTGTCCGCCCGAGAGCCAGCGCTCCTCGCCCTCCTCAATCTCGCCGTCCGCAATCAAAGGTTTTGAGTTTTCTCCCGTCTTTCAATTACTGTTTTTTGCTACTGTATAGGTAATATGTGTGATTTTCTGCTTCGGTTAAAATTCTGAATTAATTAATGGAAAGAGACATACAATGGAATTGAAGACAATTTTTTGTTAGGAGTTTGCAAAATTTTGTACCAATTCTTTGTCTGTGTGTAATTGATTATATTTGGGATATCTGTTGTCATTTATTTCTTTTAGTTTTATGGTATATGAAGCTTTATAAAATTGGACATTGATTTGGGTTGTTGGGGTGGGGGATTGTGCAGTTGAGGATCATTGTACATCTTAATTTTCAGTGGTGTGTTCAGGAAACCAGTAAAGAATTTCTGGAATGATTCGTCCAATTATAGGAATAGGTTAATTGATGAAGAAAAATAGGAGACAGAATACAAACAACAGGATTTGAGAGAAAATGTGAAGTATACTTAATATAACGAGCATAACAAAGTTCAGTGCTTTTTCAGCCATCATGCTGTTCTTGAAAGGTATTTCTAGTATCTTCAGTGCCGTCTTTTAAGTTCTCGTGGCGTAGATGCTGGGTCACCATGAACTTCACTCTCAACCTCAACAACGCCTCTATCAGTAACCTTATCAATAAACATGTAGAGTGCCTGATGCACCTCTATCGTTTGAGAGTCCTTAATGCGATATTGTTCGGCTAAGACATCTTTTTCTCCATCAAAAAATGTTCCAAGTCTTTTAACGGTTTTGAAATCAATTTGTAGGTTTTTAACTTTGGTTGGGAGGGTTTCAACTTTTTGTCAAATTGTTAGACAGGATTCTTGAGTTCAACTAGTTTTATGATGAAAATAAATGATGATAATTTGGAATCAAGGATGTTGAAATGAGGATAATGTTGAGAATGTGAATTAATACAACCGAATTTAAAATATGTCTTTCACTATTGCCCAAAAAAAAAGGTAGGAATAATAACTTAAAACAAAGATTTATGTAGTAACTCTAAGAAAATACAGCAAGAGGTAGGGGAATGTAAAACACAAAACAAAGGGGGAACAGTAATTGGAGAGAAAATGAAAGGATGCAAATATTTTCTTTTTCATGATTTTGATTTTTGAAGATAATAGGATGGATAAAAAAAGGAGACATGAAACCGGAACCCTGTATGTTAATACTCACTTCAGAATGCTGGAACGATACAATGTTATTGTGATTCCGCTTTCTACTACTATTAATACATGAGCAGGATCTTCGTATTGAAATTCTGAGCAAACTAATAGTAGACAAGGAGAGGTAATTGAAAAGAGGCAACCTTTGGTCCTAATTCAGCTGGAAGATTCCTCAATCTGAGAAAGTGTTAAAGGAATATCGTGGAGAATCGGCAAAAGCCCAAGAAGATAGACCCGGACTATGAAGCAATTGCCAGAGCGTGCACGTTAGCTGCCATGCTTTGAGCTCACGCCATTGTTTGTGCTTTTCACATGGATATTATGGAAATGCCTTTTAGATGGGTTCGACTGGTGGGAAGAAGAAACTCTAATACGAATTGACGTAGAATGGTCAAGAGACGAGAGAAGAATGAGAGAAATTTTAAATATACCGAATATCACAAATTGGTATCTGATTATAATGAGTCCTATTTATACTAGTATAATTTCCTAACAAAAATGAAAATTACTAAAATTAAATTGTAAAGAATTTCTAACTTAAAAGATAAATAATTATTGCAGGTACTTTTCAAATGTACGCTACAATATGTGTGTTTTTGAAATGTAATATCCCATTCAAGAATGCAATCATTCACATCAAGAATATAGTCTCCCACCCCAGGAATGCAATTTCCACCGGTTAGATTTTAGTATTAACCTGACCTATTTGATCAAACCAAATAAACTTTGAACGAATTGGTTTAGCTGGTTTAATAGGTGGAAACTAGTCATCCCCTTTTCTAACATTTCCATTATGGCCCGTTAGTGTTTTGGTTCCTTGATCTTTTGCTGCTCTTTTTTATTCAACACTCTATCTTCTTCTGTTCATTTCAAAATTACCCTGAGTAGAAAACTTTTACAGATTAAACTATTTCCTTTTCTTTCTGGCTCTAAACTTTTGTAACCTCAATTACTAATTTTTTTATTTATTGAAATACAGTTAACTTCTATTTGTGTAGTCCTTTTTTATCTGCGAATTATTTGCTTGATCCAAATGCAGTTAATTTCACTTATTTGCTTCTTTCAATCAAATATATCAGAAACAAGATCAGGATAGTTACATCTGGTGATGTTCCTCCTCTTGTGGAATCGTCAATCTGAGGTTACATGAAATGGCTTAGCTGAATTCATCTGTTTTTTCCCCAACTAATATGTCTGACAGGATCTTCTTGCATCGATTGTATGACAATATGGAGCACAATTCTATTTTTTTCACCCTCAATATTAACAAAAGTTTTTTAGTCGAAGGGCAATTAATTCTCTTGCATTTTTGGATGTTACTTGTTCAATTTTCTGCTTGTGCAGTTATTTTCTTTTATTTGCAAAGTATTTTCCTGATGCAAATGCAGTCAATTTCACTTGTTGGCTTCTGTAATTCACATATTTATCAGAAACAAGATCAGGATTGTTACATCTGGTGCCATTCCCCCTCTAGTGGAACTCCTCAAATTTCAACTTGGCAATTTGAGAGAGTTGGCAGCTGCCGCAATTCTGACGTTGTCATCTGCTGCACCAAACAAGCCAGCAATAGCAGCTTCTGGAGTTGCACCTCTTCTTGTGCATGTCCTGTGCTCTGGAAGTGTGCAGGGAAGGGTTGACGCCGTCACAGCTCTCTACAATCTTTCCACCTGTGAAGAGGATCCTAAGCTGGTTCTTGATCCTGAAGCAGCTCCTCCTTTAATCGACCTCCTCAAAGAGTGCAAGAAGTATTCCAAATTTGCTGAGAAAACTACTGCTTTACTCGAGATTCTCTCTAATTCAGAGGAAGGTAGAATTGCAATCACAAATGTAGATGGTGGAATTTTGACTTTAGTGGAGACTGTTGAAGATGGATCTCTAGTTAGCACAGCACATGCAGTCGGAGCTTTGCTGTCCTTGTGCCAGAGCTCTCGAGATAAATACAGGGAACTTATTCTTAGGGAAGGCGCCATACCGGGCCTTTTGCGTCTAACTGCAGAGGGTACTCCTGAAGCTCAAGACAGAGCTCGAATTCTTTTGGACTTGCTTAGGGAATCTCCTCCAGAAAATAGGTTGACTTCCTCTGTATTGGAGAGAATAGTTTACGACTTTGCTGCACATGTTGATGGAACAGATAAAGCTGCTGAAACTGCCAAGAAATTGTTACGAGACATGGTTCAGAAAAGTATGGAGAATAGCTTAAGCCATATGCAGCTTAGGGCGTCTTCTCCCTTCAAAGATTCAAAGATTCAATCAACGTGAAGAATCATTTGGTTCCAATGGGTGTAGACAGTAAACCAATGAAGTAAACTAACCAGGATTTTTTAACACAGGCCCAGTTTTTTTAGTCTAGATAGGCTTTCCCTTGCATCCAACTGATACAGAATTTGAAATTGAAGGCTGTTAGTACTTCCCCGTCTCCATAAGGTGGTTTCCATGAGCTTACTGGGAATTGTATATTTTTTTAACCTTTATTGAAAACTTGTAAAAGTTACTTGTATATTTCTTTTTAGTTTCAATAGGAGATTTCGATTGTGAAGGTATCTGGTTCTGCCTCTTGGATTTTAAAGGCAAACATGCCTGCTGGTTTTACTTTCTTTGAGTCCAAAACTCTTGACCATTTTTGCTGCATCCTTGTGTGGTTGTTGATGTCCATTGACCTTACCGGGCTTTGCCCATTTTAACCTGGAATTTTGTCCCCTGTATTGTTCTAAAGTTTCAGTAGCAGGAGGGAAGACATTGCTAGATGCTGTGGTTATTTGATCTTTCTTTCATCTGTTCAAAAACACTATTTAAGCTTACTTTTTCATGTCTTAACATCTCTCGAGCTTTATCATTAAATCTTACTGCGCATGTGTGCGTCTTGCTGCAAGAATTTGTAATAATTTCAATTGTAATTCTTGTTGAATAAGTTTCGCAGTTATACATGCCGTTGAAAGAAGAAACAAATTGGTTCATTTGTTTGATTTGTGCATCGTATATGCGGTTTTTGTTTTCATCTGTGCTGGATCAGGCCTCAGTTCTGGTCTAACTATAGCAAATGGCAACAAAATGATGGATTGACTCCCAATCTCGTGGAGGATTTTAGGGTCAGACCAATGATGCAATGATGCTAGCCGAGGTAAAAGATACTTCGATTATGATGAAGTTTGGGTCAGTGGAGCCTGATAAATGCTAGTATAGAGTGCGTGAAGGTGAGACGGAGGCTGTCATCCAGCGGCCATGGCATATGATATGGTTGTTAGATATCATATAGCTTCTGCAATTTCCTCAATGATGAATTGGGACTTTGATCCTGTTCACGGGGAGAGAGTAATAAACGGGGATTTGTTGGTATGAAATTACTTAAAACTCTCAAAAACCTTAAGATTCATCGATGTGCACATTATCATGTCCGCGTTATATACGTTTTGCTTGTGAGATGACGGGCTAACTTCCCATGCAATCTCTCGTTTAATTACACTACAAATTTATGATTCTGAAACCACAAAAAATGGAGACTACTATTTAATTCATTTGAATATATAGAAAAGAGTAGTAACAATATTGTCATTCTTGAACACACAAAGACTTAATCTTAACCTTGAAGCCATGCGACTCGTTGAGCCAACTAGAATTTACAGTATTAGGTAAAACACGTTACTAGGGGTGGTGAGTCTCTTCTAATAAAAGTAAATAAAATTATATGTGGAGTAAAATTGAGATATTACCGCAACCTCAAAATCAAACCTAGATATAGTCTAAAATTACACACACAATTCTATCACATTTTTCATTTCATTAAGAGGAGAAATCCCACAGAGATCATAACAAGAAAACGGCTTTGGCAACAAACATTCCTTCCTGGTAATTCTTGAGCTTCTTGTTTCAATAATTTGCTTTGCTTATAAAGAAGAGAATACATACATCTGTGATATGACATATCCATTATTTATTTGTTTGTTTTTTGGTTGTTTGTAGTCTCTCTTTGTTTGCCAAAGATTAAATTATTCTCAGAAGTTTTGATTCACAATAATCCAATGTTTGTTATTTGTAAATGATTAATCCTTAATGCGATTTTTACAAATAATGATTTTAAGAGGCCATCAGGTTATCAATGTGATCATGTCAATCTCTTTGTTCCATTCGTAAAATAGGTAATGTCATTGTCATGACATGACCGACGTGTACATAAGCTCAATTTATCTCCTATCACCCACATGGATCAATAATTTTTTATTGAACATTTAGGGGGGAAAAGCACATTAATCCCCTTCGACCTCAACTATACAATTTTGTTTGAACGTTAGTCATATATTGCCCGCGTGGGTTTTGGGCCACCAATGCCTAACTCAAGGTCAAGAATTCCCTTGGGTTAGCCCATGACACAGCCTTACAACATGGACTAGGTTATGTTGGGCCAACATAGAAATGGGTATGTTTGGTTACGAAGATCGTACCAACTTTACATCTCTAACTCTCTCTCGAATCAATGCTTTGTGGGTTGTGGAATAAAATGTACATCGAGCATGTGTGAAAGGCCTGTTTTCGCGCACAAGTTTATTCATCATGCATGTTTCATTAGTAAGAAAAGATGTTAACCAGCTTTCATCTTAATCCAGCACAAGAATGGCAGAACATTCAAGAAAAAGCGAAGAAAAGCGCGTGAAACCAAAGATAGTTGTGCCTGAACTATGCCTAGATGTTGTGAAAAATGAAGTGTACTCATCACCATCTTCACCAGTTACCCTGAGGAAGACATCAAGTGTGAGGTATAATTGCTTGTGCTCCCCAACGACACATGCCGGCTCGTTCCGGTGCCGGTACCACCGGAACCTCAGCCTTACTCGCAATAGCATGTCTGTTGGTTCTAAGCTTTCAGAGTTTGCTGGTAAATCAACTCAAATCTGTGATGGATTTGACAATCATCTCATTTCTGGTCAAAAACAAGGCTCATGATCTATCATTAATGCATCAAGACTTGTTTGTTCGATAGCATGTGCAGTATTTTCGTTTTCAGAACCAAAAAAATTATATCTGCATATGACAGATCATGGTTTTTGAAGTTTCTGATTGATTATTCCATGTGCAAGTTTCTGATTACTCTTAAATGCGTCAAGACTCATCAATATTAGATTTTTTTTTTTGTAAGCAAATGTAAATTTGTATTGATCAAAAGTCAAAACTAATATACAAGTACTCCGGGCATACTCAGACTTATAAGATCAAAAGATGTACAAAAAGACTCGAAATTAATCAAAATATGAGGATACAAGGAAAACATAACTTTGCATTTCAATAATTTAGATTATCAAGCGAGTAAACATTTCAATGCAGTGGAAATCAAGATGTTGAGGATAAATTAAGAGAATGACGATTAAAGTAGTTGGAGAAAGAGGCCCTCGTTCACGAGAGCAACGCAACTGAGTAAAACAAGCCGGAAGATCGAAGAATAGATCAAAANGGAAGCCCCTTTTCCACACCGATAATCGGGAGACGGGGTGCAGCAGAATATTAGATCTTTCATTTCATCCAGTTCTCAGAAAGGACTTGTTCTAACAATGTAAAATCTGCTGGAAATGATCAAATAGTTTGCTTCAAGCACTTCAGTCTCAGAAAAGGTTACCGAGCCACCAATCGACTAAAATGAGCAAGAACATCCATCTACTTCCATGCTTTCATTTTCACCTGTAAAACAAGGACTGCGAGGCAAACAAGTGCCTAATTTTCTATCTTTCTTAAAGGTTCTACTAATCATGACATGATTATACATAAAATCATCAAACCTATGAGATGCTGCTTGAAATTAAACTTCCCCAAAGCTAAGATATTCGCCACCTTCATCTGGTCTGGAAACATCGTTTGATCAAATGTTCAGCTGCACCTCGCGTATTGTTGAAATACCTTAATCCAATCAAAACTGTACAGTAAAATAACTCAATCCTGACTAATTGGCAGTTGACATTCCAAAATCATTCAAATTCTTCCACCTACAAACAGAGAGGTAGAAGATGCTGCAGAATGTGAACATTGCTAGGGAGATTATTTTCATAAAGCCTGAATTCAAAATAAAATCTCAGGATCATAATATCAGAAGCCTTTCATGTACAATGTTGGTCAAAGAGACCCGTCACTACAAGAGGACGCAAAACACGACGCCAAACATACGCATCAAAAAACACGAGAAGAGGCACACAATCTTATACATTTTTGTACACTACTAGGATGTACAATGAATGGAACTTACTCCAGAAGTATCTTGGTAATTTAATCACATGGGACAAGCATCATCCTCGACTTCTTGAGGCATCATGTGATTCCTGCAAAGAGGACAGGTGACATTCCAGTACTTCAACCACTTCTCAAGGCATGACTTGTGGAAAACATGGCCACAAGACAGACGGTTAACCTCTGCATATTGCTTGAATTCGGACAGGCATACTGAGCACTCTTCCTTGGGGCAGTCGCGAATAAACATTGAATCATAACGTATAGTTGGTGTTTGGCTTTGGAACTCCTCCACATACAACTCAGAGGCGGTTCTACGACATTCAATTGAGTCCGAGGATTCCAAAGAGAGTTCTTCCCGTGATGCTATGTGGATGCCCATGACATGAAGGATTGAACAAAAAATATCCTTAAAAATGGAAATGGATATGGCCGTGTTTACCAGAATTACACAGAAGACTCCCACGTCAGCTGGAGTTGAATATGATGACAGACCCATTTTGGATTTGTAACCTAATGGAAAATCAGAAAGTATCAACTTAGCTCTAATGACAACTATACGAAGCAAAAATATAATTTACAACTGGAGAAGTTTTATAATTAGTTTGATGGAAGCTCATGATATTTTATACCTTCGATGTGAGAATAAACCCAACTTCCAATTTTTTCTAGTTTTTTCAGATGATAAATCATAAATTTAAACCTTTTGTAATCCAACCCCATTTTTTCACAGAAAAAAGACAACAGAAAGAACGGTATTTCTAGAATAAAACAAGATATCTATTGAAAATCCCACAGATGCTATTGGAAGAGAATTTTCAAGACGTGCACCGGCCTCTTCTGTTCTCCGTATAGTTCTCTTCTTAGTACTCTCAAAGTTTTTCGTATTATCAATATTAACAAATGAAAAAGGGAAAACAAGAAGAGTTAAAAGTGTGCTTTCACTCTAGGCTTAGAACTTAACATGTATTAATTGTGAGAAGCAGATTGTGTACAAGTTTTACAGAAAACGTGGAAACAAAGTACAATAATTCACAAGCTTACCTCGAGCAAATTATCTCAAAACAAAGCTCCTAAAACACAGTTCCCACCCCAGATCAGTATGGATAGACAAATAAAAGTGAAACCGAACATTAGGCAAAGAAGATAAATTTATATGCTAGACATCCAATATAGAACAATGCATTCATTAGCCAAAATTCACCTTTTCTTTTTCCCTTTCTTTATATTATTAGAAATTTCCCCTATTATTTGACAATTAATATGCAAAAAAACCCAGAACCTAGAAAAAAAACTGATATATTTGATCCCTGCAAAATCATATACTAATTTCCACATGAAACCCATCAAGAAATGCCCCCCCCC